CACACACACACGCACACACACACACACACACAGAGAGAGAGAGAGAGAGAGAGAGAGAGAGAGAGAGAGAGAGAGAGAGAGAGAGAGAGAGAGAGGCCTGAGGGTCACAATTTGAGAGAGCTCATCGCATTGTTGTTTGGGGCTGGCGGCCATAACTGCCCAGCCAGTTGTACACAAACTTGTTCGTACAAGGGTGATTTTGAGATAACTTTTCTCATATTGGGTGGCATTGGATGTCCTGTTCTTTGTATTGTCAAAAAAGTGCAACCCGGTGTGAACATGAGATGTTCAGTTGATGGTTGGAGTTCGTGCTCATTGCGATCTGGTATCAGATAGTGAGAGGCAGTTAACGGAGGCCTCAATTTTCAGACAACTTCTCAATGCCATTTATAACAAAATCCAAAGGCCATTTTAACAGAACTTGCCACCAAAATCATACTAACTACTTGCCCAAAACAAAAGCACTTAAAAAACCTATGAAACAGCAAGGCAAAAGTTCACTTTCATGGAATTTTGCCAACATTCCAGTTTCAGAAATCTTGTGAAATTTCAGAAATCTCAGCAGAGGGCATTCCAGTGCCCCTAATGATACCAAATTTGGCACACAGCAACCTTGAACCAAAACAAAATCATCAAAATAAAATAAAATCTCAAAGACCATAACATTTGACCCCCAAACCCCAATTTAAGTTTTCGACCCCTTACTCGGGAGCTGAAAGTTGGGGTCCCCTTACTCAGGAACTGATAGTGGGGTCCCTGTTAACCACTTGTGGACAATAGATAGTCTGGCCCTGTCACTTCAGGCAGGCAGAAGCTTGTGGAGCTGTAGGTGAAGGTGTTGACAAAACAAGTTTGGTCTGTTGATGTATAAGGGAGCGAATGCAGCTCCTTCTGGCACGAAGGCTTAGCTTGTGGTGGTCGACATCGATGAATGGTCTGGAAACCAGCAATGAAGCATTTCGATCATTCAAATTGTTTAATGAACGAACAAATCATCACGAATCTTCACAAATGATCAGACGAATGCTCATGGAATCATCACATTCGAACCATCCAACCAATCATTGCCTAAATCATGATTGAAACATGGAACGGATCGTCAACGTATAATCGTTTAACAAATCAGCAAACGAATCATCAATGTATCATTAATGAATCTGCAGCGAATTGGTGAATCATGAATGAAACATGGATCGCTATGAATCATAACGGTCATCATCACGATCATCACCTCACGAACCATCGCGAAGCACAGACAATCAGTATAAAAATCAACAAATCATCAATGAATCAGCAATGCCGAACGGACCATCAACGAAATATCAATGGAACTGTTAATGCACAGCAACACATCGTCAAAAATGAATTATTACCGAAGCATGAACAGAAACAAAACATGAATGTACCATCATTTCTTCCAATTCTTCTCTTCGGCAACCGACAGAGAAAATTCACACAATGGAGAGAGGATTTCTACAAACGTTCATCTAAACATGCACTCACTTGGTCATATTCATTGTGGACGTTACGAATTACCTTTTTCTTTTCTCCTTATTGATGATGATGATGACGACGACAGGGATGACGATGACAAATAGGGGAAGTCTGAATGAATGGTAGGAATGGAGACAATCTGCATTGTCTTCCCCTTTCTCTTCCTCCTCATCAAAGGACTTATTGGCGTCTTCTTTCTCTCCAGCTTACGCTCTTTGATGGTGTTGAAACTTGAGAAAGATCATGGGTTGTGCTCATGTCCGAAGTACTTAAGGCCGTGCCCTGCTGTAGCGCTGATTTTCTACCCCCCCTTAATTCACCCCTCTTCACTGCTTGCCATCATGCCCCCCATTCTCTCCCCTCCTACCCTTTTTCATCTTGTGGGGTGTTCTTGGCAGTTTCTGGGAATACCTCATCTCGGCAGAACCTTGGTGAGAGTAGCAATCTTGAGAAGAAGATCGCCAGTCACCGTTGGATCTGTGGCTCTGCCACATCGGTCTCTCCATCGTCAGCATCTCCCACGGAGCAGGAGATGGTTCCTGCATCTTTGGCCGCGTCAGCATCTCCCACGGACGGAGTAAGTGCTCTGTTCTCCTCCTCCTCCTCCTCCTTCTTTGTCTTTGTCTTCTTCATCTTTTCGGGAAATCATCTTAAGAAAATAACAACGGTTTGTTCTTTGATTGTGAAGAAGTGGGAGTTAGTTCAGTTCATCTCTCTTTTCTGAACTTAACTGTGGTACCTCCCCCAACCCGGTCTCAACCCCACCCCMCCCCCCGCCCCAAACACACACACACATGCAGAGAACCGACTGGGGTCCTTTTTCCAGTTTCATTGTCTCCGTTTTGTCTTTCTACTGCTTTTCATGTTTTTTTGCTGTGACAAGGTGAGAAGGGGGAAGGGGTGGTGGTTATGGTGGGTAGGGCGGGGGAGGGGGGGAACGACAAGGTGATACTTCACTGGGAGAAGTCACTGGATGGGGTAACTGGTAGACAAGGGGGGGATGGAATGTTTGCATGGATGGTGAGAAGATTAACGGAGATAAAGTGGTTCATCATCGTGATCATCATCATCATCATCATCATCATCATCATCATCATCATCCTCTTTTAAGTAGAGGTAAGTGGCGGGCAGGGAGTTGATCTCCGTTAAGTCGAGAATGTTTGCATGTATGGTGAACCCCTCCCCCCTCCCTCTGTCCGCGGGTTCCTCGGGTTCCTCAAGGAAAAATTGGACAAATTAGAAAAGAGAAAGAGACAGGATCAAAAGAAAAAGGGGAATCTAGCGGCAGTCTGAGAGGCAGCGTTTTATCTTACCTTTGTTGTGATCCTCCCCATTCCCCCCCTTTCCCCTCCCTTCCCTGTGGGAGCCCCCTCCAAGTCCCATGACCACCACCCATGTCCGTGACCTCGTTAGCCAGTAGCAGTGTTGGTGGCATTGGGGTGTTCGACATATAGCATGCCAGTAGCGAAGGAATAGTCCTGGAGAGAGGAAATGGACGGCAGGCTGAACAAGTACAGAAGGAATGCTAAAGCAGTGCTAGCTATTTTTTCATTCTTTACTGTCTTTTTTTTTGTTTTGTTTCTGATATTGCTTTTGGTTGTGAAAGGGTGCAAGCCTTGGCTATAGTGTGTTGGTTTCAACAACAATTCAAACTTGTCGCTTCTTGTGACTGCCATATATATTCAGCCTCCTGATGTGTTGCTGAAACTCCCACGAAAGTTTTTCACAGCCCTGCCTACGGTTCTTGTCCTTTTCCTCCCTTTCTGCCTACAGCTCACCCGTAATCCTCTGTTGCTATGTATATAGGCCAACTTCAATTTATTCGTATGGTCCTGCATACAAATCCATAGCAGCTCATTTTATACATGTATTTACTCACAGAGAACTGCCTGGTGAACCATAGGCGGAAAGGGCGAAGATGACAGGAGATGGGGGGCTGTGACAGGCTGTTTCTTTGCGAGTTTCAACGGCTCGTCAGCAGACTATATACATCCACGTGGGCGGCCTTGTACGCAAGAGGTTCTGTACAGGGGGAGTTGTAAGGAAGAAAAAACGATTCCATTTTTTCCTTGTTTTTTTCCTTTTTCCTTTTTTTTTGAAACGGTTTTATCCAGTTAACGCGACATTTGCAGACACGCAGATTCGATCCCTAGACCTGTGCCCAAACCCTGTACATTGACCCTGTGTGCTGACACTGCTGAGTGAGATCCGATCCCTAGACCTACCCTGTACTCTGTACATAGGCCCAGTGATCTGTGTGAGACTTGATCCCCAGGTCTGTAGATTAGGAGTTAGGTCTGTTACCGTTAGGCCTAGGAAGGTCTGTTCTAGAAGTCTCTATCTGAGTCTACTGAGGCCTAGAGTCTGTCTGTAAGTCTGTAGGCTCTCGAAGGTCGTAGGTCCCTGTAGGCCAGTCCAGTCAGCAAGTACCAGGGGTAGGGGCTACACGTGGGGAAGGTTCTGGACAACGCTGTGGGTTCCAAACGTTTTGGCGCAGAAGGCCAAACGTCTGGAAGCTTCCCTGGGCCACACGTTTTGGCCCAGGCCCGCACGTTTTGAGGCAGGCCCGGGTACCTCCGAAGAGATATAAATAAGAGGCAGCGTCAAGCCATTCATTCATTCGCCTGTGTGCCATGCAGAGGAGCTGCCTTGGTATCTTGTGCGTGGAGGACTGCAGGTGCCCGGAGAAGAAGTGGGCTGTGAAGAAGATAGCGGCCATAGCGAACCAGTAAGAGAGACACCGACGGCCATAGCTAGGAGGAGGAAGATGATGGTGGCCATAGCCGCCCAGCTGTTGGTGTAGGCAGAGTATAGACAGTGGGTGTGACTGTGCAGCGTGGACATTCAGGGTGATCCTCGTACGTGCGTGCATGCGAGAGTGAGGTAGAGGGAGGCTGGTGGTAGAGACAGTGTTCGACGACCATAGCCGCAAGTGGTACAGTTGATTCAGACTAAGTTTAATACAAGTTCATGTTGTTTCTGAGTTGGAAGAGTTCGGTTTTGCCATCGGTTCTAAAGTGTGCATGTTGTGAGCAAGTCTGAAGTCGAGTCTGATTGCATTGGTATCGGAGCTGGTACCCGTTGTCCACCAGCGGAGCTGCAGCAGCGAGTTGGAAGAAGGAAGAAGCCGACATAGCCAGAGCTCGACACAGAGAGAAAGAGAGAGAGAGAGAGAGAGAGAGAGAGAGAGAGAGAGAGAGAGAGAGAGAGAGAGAGAGAGAGAGAGAGAGAGAGAAGGGGGGATGGCAGCCATAGCTGCCAAGCTCGGGAAAGAAGACAATCAGTAAGAAGAAAGAGAGACGCAGAGAGAAGGAAAAAGAAAGTGACGATGAGGGAGAAGAAGTCAGCCATGGCCAAGGTGAAGAAGACTAAGGTTTTGACGACGAAGAAGGTCCACCATAGCCGGAAGGTTGGAAGGTTGACCAGGGGAGTTGACCAACGTTGATTGAGAGGTGACCAACGTTGATCGAGAGTTGACCAATGTTGATCGGGTGTTGACCAAGGGTTGACCAAGAGTTGTTGACCAAGGGTTGACCAAGAGTTGTTGACGAGGCGTTGACCAAAGTTGACCACGACGTTGACCATGAGCATTGACCAGCGAGTTGACCAAGACTATTGACTGGAGCGTCGAACCAACTGGAACGAGAAGATTACTGGTACTCTCTCCATGCCCTGGCCTATCCCATACCCCGTGGATGTGCACCTTCACCTTGGTACTTGCTGACGTCAAGTCTGTCAAGGTCAGTCAGTCATATCTCCCTGTCAGTCCTGTCTAGGTCGGTAGGACTCTGTGCTGTCATAGAACCGCGAGACTAGCTCGAGTAGTGAGTTAAGACCCCTCGACAGAAGTTTAACCTGTTTGGTCTACGTGTTGAAGCGCAGCATCGGTGCTGATTGTGCACTATCACCATGGTGACCCTCAGGTCAGGAACTAGCACCACCCCCCAGAGCAAGGAGCAGGAGGAGAAAGGTGCCACCATTCTTCGAGAGGAGGAAAGGATGGAGAAGAGGGAGTTAATCAAGCAGGCCAAGATGCTGGCCTTGCGGAAGGAGCAAGAGGTGAAGAAGAGGCAGCTGGAGGAGGAAATGAAGAAGTGGACGCAGGAGCAGGAGGAGAAAATGGCGGCTATACAAGCGGAGGTGGAGAAAGAAGAAGAAGAACAAGAAGTAGAAGAAGAGGAGCCATTGGAAAGAAGAAGAGGTGAAGCTAGTACGAGTAAGGTGGAGCAGATTGAGAAGTTGGCACAAGAGTGGACCGCAATCTTGGAGCGGGGGGAAGATAGGGAGGCAGAATTGGCCATACCCCAAGCAGAGAGAGAGGCGGCGAGAAGGGAGTTGTAAGCAGAAAGGGACCCGGTGAGGAGAAAGGCGAAAGAGGAGGAACAACAAAGGGCATGGAAGTGGCATATGTCCCAAGAGAAAGTTGCGCGTTTGGAGGCGGCAGAGTGAGCAGAAAGGGACCTGAAAGCGGCGGAGACCAGGATGGGGAAGATCAGGGAAGAGATTGAGATAACCACTAAACTTGATACCCTGACCAGAGTGTGGAGTCTCTACGAATTGCACATCGTGAGCAGACGCAGTACATCCGCAGCTTAGAGGTAAAGATAGATGCAATACATGCTGGGTTTAAGGATTTTGCGCGCGACATGATGAAGTACCTGGTGGACCAGGTGCACCTAGCAATTAGTAAAACAAAAGAATTCTGCACAGGCGCCATGGAAAGGGCCAAGTTAGCGACTCCTAAGGAAGAGGAGCCATCCCCACCACGCCGCGAGAAAATCAAGGTCTGTTTCCTTTCAGTGGGAAGAAGGGGGAGGATTTTGATAAATGGGAGAACAACGTGCACTCCTATTTGTACTTACATGGAGTCACGCTTGAGGACCATGTTTTGGTGGCCTTCCAGGCCCTTCGAGATGAGGCGACCAGCTTTGCTAGGTCGCTCGCCCGCGCTGCAAATTTTGAGAATGAGATGGTTACATATTACAGATTGACACCCCTCTCCGAGTTCCTGAAATCGCTCAAGGAGCGATTCTCAGATTTGCCGCGGGGGCCTTCGACAAGCTCCAAATGATACACACTCGTCAGTGGAGTAGTGTGCATGCACTTAAGTCCGCGATGGACGAATTGATTGCGGTCCCTGGGCATGCAGTAACTGATGCCCAACTACTTAACCTCTTTTACAGTGCCCTGCCTGAGAATATTCAGGGACACTTCTTTGAAAAGAAGAATCAGGAGGGCATGACTTATGACACTCTTTAGTTGGGAGGTAGTTGCATTTGCCGCCCAAGCGTCGCCAGTTACCACGTTTTGACACAAGGACTTGTCAACGGGAAAAATGTGGAAGGGACGCACCATCTCCAGCCAAATTAAGGCCAAAGATAGTCTGATTCTGACGGTGGAGGAAGGTGGTGCAGACGAGGTTCCCTACTTTGATATCTAGTGGGGACTAGAAGAGCAGGACAATAGCGTTGCTTAGGGGCGAACCTACGCTGCTGTTGCGGCCGGAGGGAGACGGGCCCCGGGTGGCCGAGGACAGGGCGGCCAGGGGGTTGGCGGCAATGGCAACCGCCAAGCGGG